CAGGCACACCTGGGCTTGAGAGCCAGATGTGTGCACTGGCTATCTGAACCTGGGTTCTAGACACACTAGTTGTTTTTTGTTTTTGTTTTTTTGAGACGGGATCACTCTGTCGCCCAGGCTGGAGTGCAGTGTGGTGATCACAGCTCATAGCAGCCTCAAACTCTGGGGCTCATGTGATCCTCCTGCCCCAGCCTCCCAAGTAGCTGGGACTACAGGCACCTGCCATAATACCTGGTCAAGTTTTCTGTTTTGTAGAAATGGGATCTGGTTGTTACTCAGACTGGTCTTCTATTCCTGGCCTCCCAGCGTATTGGAGTTACTGTACGAGCCACCCCACCTGCCTGGACACGCAGGTTCTGAGGCTATCACTTAGCTCAGCTTGCAGCTGGGGATGGCTCCATCTTCCTGGTGGCCACTGGGATCTGAAATGGCACAGAAAAGCACGAAGTGTCCAGTACACTGCTGGCCCAGACAGGATGCTAAAGCACTTGACATCCCATCGCACATTGTCTGCTGTGTACCTGGTGACCTGTGGCTGAGCAGGCCACCGGTGACCCCGTGCTCCCTGGCACCATAAGGGAGATGTTGCCTTGGAGTTCTGGAATGTGGATTCAGGTTGTTTTGGTCACCAAAGTGCTTTGCTGATGCTTGTTTCATAGGTGATTCTGTTTGAAATTGAAGTATCTTGAGGTTAGGGAAGTAGGTAAGTGAAACAGATACAGAGAACCTACAAAACACCAGAAATGGTGCTTGGGAAAAACAGCAGAGGTGGCATCACTTTGAGATGGTGTTTGTGTGACTTCTAAGCAGTCCGATATCAGTGTAGCCCCCAAATCCCACCTGTCCCCTTGGTCTCACTCAGCCTGTAGCTGACACCGAGCAGTGACCTGCATCTGGGCTCCTTCATGAGCTGTGAGCACCTCTCTGGAAGGGCTGCTCCCTCACCCTGGGTGCAGCAAGTGCTCTGTGGGCCTGCAGCAGCTCTGAGATAAAGGAAAGGTTGTCCATGTACAGGTGTGTGTCCTTGAACAGACGTGTGTCCTATAGCCAGATGAGTCTCATTAGATGGTGTACTCAGGAGGGCAGTTGCTCAACCCCATATCTCTGCCTCTTGCATGTCAAGCCATTAACTGGTGGGACTCACCATGGTGCCCAGTTGCAGCCTCCAAAAACAGTGGGGAGCTGTGGCCATCAGCAGCCACCCTTCTGCTACAGTGAGAGGGACACAAACCTCTTTTGGCTTCTGAGAAGTTATCAAATTTGAAATGTAAATTCTAATATTCTCTAAAGTTTCCCGGGGCTTGAAGAGATTGTATGTGTCTTTAACATTCATTTCTATAGCAGACAAATCTCTTTTAAAGATGATCACTTTTTTCTCTTTAGTGTATAGCTTATTTTTTTCCCAAGTGAAAATTTTATTTTTTTACTACTAAACTGCTGATATTTTCATAAAGAGATGGGGTCTTGCTGTGTTGCCCAGGCAGGAGTGCAGAGGCCACTCCTATGCACAGTCACAGCTCACAGCAGGTTCGAACTCCTGGGCTGAAGTGATCCTCCTGCCTCCTGAGTGGCTGGGACTACAGAAGCTTGTTACACACAACTGATTGAAAAACAATTTATTTCAGAACTTTTTTTTCTTTTTTTGAGACAGAGCCTCAAGCAGTTGCCCTGGGTAGAGTGCCTTGGCATCACAGCTCACAGCAACCTCCAAGGTTGCTTAAATTCCCAGGCTTAAGTGATTCTCTTGCCTCAGCCTCCTAAGTAGCTGGGACCACAGGTGCCCGCCACAATGCCTGGCTATTTTTTGGTTACAGCCGTCATTGTTGTTTGGCGAGCCCAGGCTGGATTCCAAGCTCAGGTGTATGTGGCTGGCACCTTAGCTGCTTGAGCCACAGGTGCTGAGCCCAAAACTTTTAAGTTAAACTAATTTAGAATTTTGAGCCCTGTGAGGTAGTTGCTGCTTCTATAAAAGTCACTAGTGGTGTTTTTTTTTTTTTTAATTAAATCATCGCTGTGTACATTAATGCAGTCATGGTGTTTTTTTTTTTTCCAATTGTTCTCTCTAATTATTAAAGAATCTGTTTTTTCTGGCAAATAAAGAGATTTCTTATGCATATAGGAAACCAAACAATGACCCTACCGATTCCTGTTTGAATCAGGGTGCTTAGATCTTCTGACTGATTCCCATCACATGGCCAGTAAACAGGTGTCAATTGGGGACTCCAGGCTTTGCACTTAAATGATTCTTTTCCTCCATTTGAAATGTATTTTTGTTCTCCTTCAATGTCTTTTTGACCTGAGTGCTATGAAGAATGAAGCCACCAGATGGAGATGCCTGGTGCTTCCTCCCTACCACCCCAGGGCTTGGGCACTCTGGGCGGGATGCACTGGAGTAGTAGATGGATCCTGTGACCCGCGTGTGGCCTTTCTGGATATCTTTCGTCACCCTTTTTGTGACCTGTGGTCCTGCTGCTCCAGTACAGGCAGCATGTTTTCCTTTAATTTTCAGGACTGAGGCCAAGATGGGGCCCTGGGCTGAGATGTGGGGCCTGGACTGGTGTGATGGCACTTTGTGAAATGAATGCTATGTTGGACTGGAGGGGAAGGCCAAGGGGGAGTGAGGCACAGCTGCAGGGAGCAGGAAGCCTCAGTACCCCAGGGTTTGGGGCCAGGACATGGCAGGCTGCAAGGGTAGGGAGCGAATGAAAGCCTTATACCCATTTCTGCCTCATTTTCTCAGCTGGAAATGTGAAACAATCATTACATTCCTCACAGGACATTGTGAAGGTGATTTCGGGTGATGTTTGAAAGTATTTTTTCTTTCTTTCTTTTTTTTTTTTTGAGACAAAGTCTCCCTCTGTTGCCCTAGGTAGAGTGCTGTGTTGTCATCATAGCTCACAGCAACCTTAAACTCTTGGGCTTGAGCAATCCTCCTGCCTCAGCCTCCCCAGCTAGCTGGGACTACAGGAGACCAGCTAGTTTCTTCTATTTTTAGTAGAGATGGAGTCTCACTCTTGCTCAGGCTGGTCTTGAACCCCTGAGCTCAAGGGATCCTCCCACCTCAGCCTTTCAGAGTGCTGGGATTACAAGTGGGAACCACCTCACCCAGCCTGAAAATATTTTGTAAGGACTAAAGGAAGGCACATGTGTGGTGACAAGTGAGTAAAGACATTTAGGAAGTGAATCCAGATCTCCACTTCCTTCCTGCCCTGTGCCCCAGAGAGGCTTGCCTCAGGCCATCTGGGGTGGCTCCTTGGGAAGGACAGGGAGTATTCTTCCATTAGACCAGCTGAATTTTCTTCTAAGAAATGCCATCTTTAGGTGTTTCAGGAGAGTGATGCTATTTGCCTTGCCAGCTGTGAAGATGGAGTTTATAACAGGAGCAATCAGGCAGCTTTATCTTTCCCAAGCAGTGTTGTAGGCAGAATGGCCCTCCCTCCCCCTGAGAATTCACCTGCTCACCTCAGAATATTGTCTTTTTTTTTTTTTTTTGCTGAGGCTGGGTTTGAACCCGCCACCTCTGGCATATGGGGCC